TCATCACCTCTTCCATGACACCTTTCCTGAATCCCTAGCCTGAAGTGATCTCAGTCCTAGTTGTCAGCTCCGTAGCAACTGGCATGGTATCTGGTGCACTTTTCTATTTAGTACATGCTGGTGAATGATGTTAAAATTCTACACTGTAACATTGCATGTGAATTATTTTGTATTCATAGAACACATTTCTTCTAAACGCTCTAGGAAACTAAAGGATTTTTTTCCTTAGGCTTGTTATTATAGAGGAAACTGACAGTCATAATGCATAATCTAATGCATAGAAAGGGAATCTGACTAGAAGATAAGTCTCATTTCAATCTGAAATTGCAAGTATATTCAGTAATTTTCTCTGAGCAGTTTTTATACACCTCATTTCCTTTTAATCAGAAATGTTTTGTAGCTGCAGGTGTGAAATACAGGTTGACGATGTCAAACCATCATGGACACAGGCTGTCGTTTTACAAAGTCCACTGGATAATTGGTGTTTTTAAATAAATAATATAATAAAGGATATTTTAGGAATAGATCAGTTTCCTTAAATGCTTACATATGTTCTAGATTATGCTTCTCATTTGGATTTTATCAAAAAGGACAGTGAAATTTTAAAAGCCAGATCACCTTTGTCCATGGCATTTGTGATGGTTGCCATTGACAAACAGGTTTTATTTTATTCATTTTATTTCACTTAGTGTTTTTAAAAGATTGCATTGAGCTAAGAGCTATGGAGAGAATAAGGGAAATATAAGTCACTATGAAGATATAACCCAGTCTGGAAGAGATAATGAACAATGCAAAGAAGTAGAAAATCAAATTACCAGTGTAATGGTACAGATCATGGATTCAGAAGATGGAGTCTTTTCTAAATAATTTTGTTCTTGATTACCCACTGTCTTGTACTGTGTATTAAATTACTTACAAGAAATATTCAAGAAACTTGCTTTACAGTCTGCATGGACTACCCAGCAGTTTTTCTGGCTTTGATGCAAAAGCAGTTAACAGGGCCAGCCCTTGCAGTGACTGAATCATTCCTCAAGGGATCATCTCATTTCTGGAATTAAATTCTGTCCCTACTAATTTGTGTTAATAGCTAAAAGATACTGGCCTCAAATCCTACCCAAGTACCCACAGTCATTACTCTAGATGTATTATCTACAATTGCTACCATTTATTTTCCTGCTTTTCCCTTTGGGTTTTCTTTCTTCTTCCATATTTTAGTTTAATAACGATGATACTTAGTTTGATAGGAAAAAGAAAACTCAAATTTATTAACTGTATACTGTGCATCTGATTACATGCTATTTTTCATTTGTGTTCTCTCATTTTTTTCTATACATGTAAACCCTAGAATATAGTTACTATTAATCTTCGTTTTTAAAGTTAAGAAAAACTGAAATTGAGAGCAGTTAAATAAATTGTCTATCAATGAACAGGCAAGTTTTCCACAGACTCCAACATCTGGTATGAGAATGTAAGTTTGGATGCTTTTTTCAATTAATATTTACTAAAAGACAAATATTTATATTTAATATTATATATTTTATTCTAACAAAAATTTGAGTAAAAATAGCACAGAATTGAAGATGAGAGAGACAGGGGAACAGGATACCATGAGTGAGTGAGAACCAGAGACACACAGTTTCATGAAGATTTCAAGTATTGGAATTACCAGACAAAGATTAAAAACAAACAAACAAAAAAACTTTACTTCCCATTTCTAATAAATAAAAATAAGCTTGAAAATGTTGCGAGGGAATGGAAAACACTAGTGACGTAGTATATTTGAAAAAGAAGCAAATAGAAGTTTTAGAGCTGAAAAGCATAGTTGAAAGTATGAAAATGTTTTGATAGCAGACTAGATACAACTGAATAAAGAACCAGTAAGCTGGAAAATGAGTATAAGAAACTGTTCAGAATGTGATGCAGAGAGAAAACAATGAAAAATACAAAAGAGAGAATAAATGATGGGTGGGATAAAGTCTAACATTATTTCACTGGAGTCCAAAAATAAAGAAGAGAAAATGAGGTACAGGAAATATATGAAGTGATATGGTACAGAATGTATGCTCCTCCTAGAGTCTTTTCTGTTTCTGATGATCAGAACTCCATCCTTTTAGTTCCCTAGGCCAAAACCCTATGAGTCGTGCTTGACTTCTTTTCTTTCTCTCCTACTCTCTCTCCAACATATCAAGACATTCTGTTGGTCTACGTTCAAAATATGTCCAAAATCCAACCACTTGACACCAACCCAAATGCTCACACTCTGACCTCTAGCCTGGGTCGTGGGTTTTAACTGATCTCTCTGCTTCCAAGTATTATACCGTGTAGTACATACAAGCATACCCTAAAGATGTACTTATGCTTGACATTTTGACATTTTCTGTTTTTATTATTTCTTTCCTATTGTCTCCATGTTCTACTTTGTTTTTGTGGAGTCAACTCCATTTAGAAGTAGAGACTGCTCATACCTCAACTATGGCAATAATCTTCAGGCTCTGCCTCGTCCAGTCGCTTTTGCATACCTATGGCATGCTAACCAGCAGAAGGGCAATGTGCCATCAGTTTAGAATTTGAATTTCCTCTCTGCAACTTACTGTAAATATAACTTTGTGATTACCTTCTCTGTAAGATGGGGATGGTGATAATAAAAGCTATTTCAAAGAATTATCTTGAGGATTAAATGAGATTCAGTAAGTAAAAGAATTCAGTAAGTAAAGAACATGCTCCATGCACATAATAAATGCTCAGTAACCACTAGCTGTTGTTATCATACCATGTCCATCTCTGCTTAAATATCTCCAGTATTTCTCATTGCCTACAGAATTAAGCATAAACTTAATATAATATTGAAGTTTTTTTTTATTCGTCTAAATTTAGCTCCAACTTCCTGACATAAAATAACAGCTTCGTCTATGCCCTTTCTACTTCCATGCCCTTAGGTTTCCATCTTCTATCCCAACTTTCTTGCCTGAAAACTGCAGCCTTTCACAACCGTCTTCCTTCCCAGCCACAGACTGATTTCTTCTCCCCCTACTTTTTCGTCATGCTTCATTTATCTGTTACGAACTCTCAAGTTATATTGCCTTATAATCTGTTTGCATGTCTGATGCCACATTTGATTGTATACTTTTCAAGGGCAGAGATTTTTAGAAATTTTAATAGACTTTATTTTTTAGAGCAGTTTTAGGTTTACAGAAAAGTCAAACAGAAGGTATAGAGATTCCTCATATACTCCCTGCTGCCACACAGGTGCGGCCTCCCCTGCTGTCAACATCCCCCTCCGAAATGGTACATTTGTTCCCATCAATGAACCTGCGTTCACACACCACTATTAGGTGTTCATTCTTGGTATTGTACATTCTGTGGGTTTGGACAAATGTATAATGACATATAGCCACAACTAGAATATCATAGAGAATAGTTTCACTGCCCTAAAAATCCTCTGTGCTCCACCTATTCATCCCTCCTTACCTGGTTAGAGATTCTTTTCAATTTATCCATAGAACATAATATAATACCTGATACACAGTTACCCCCAAATAAATGTTTTTAGATGTATGATTGCATGAATGAAAGAAGGGAGGGACAAATTGGAGAGAATGAGTACATCTTATCATTGTCTTGCTGACTGATGTTTTGTCTCTGTTTCATTGTTTACTCATACTATTTTAGCCTACTCTGAAGACCACCCCCGCAAACTACTGTCTTTTAGAAGCTGGCTTGTACTTGAGATGTTCATTCAAATCTCACCTTATGTATTAAACCTGAGTCAAGAGTGAGCTCTGAACACTTTTAAGACTTATTTTCTGAATTATCTGTTTAATTCAATGTATCACATTTGTATTTTTTTGTTTCATGAGCCTATATCTGGCTTCCCCAGTGAGACTGAATTATATTTTTCTGTGGTAGGTATAGTTTCATTTCCTTACTTTTTATAAGCAAGAAGTGCCTTCATAAATTATCGCTTTCCACTTGGGATTGTAGATAATGGCCATGGAACAGAGAAATTTGCTGGTCTAAAAAGAATTCACAATCTTAGTCACTTTTGCATCAATTCAGCTAACTGTCTAGGACGGAAAATTATTGAGAACTAATTAAAAACATAACAAGGAAGTAAATGTTTCACAGATTTGAGCTTGCAACAGTTTCTATAAAAAGCTATAGAGGATTGCCAAATTGTTGTTAAAATAATATAACTTTGCTCTGTGCTGGCAGGAGATATTTACAGAACGTTTTCCATCCTTTCCCCAGTAATTTAAACATTCCAAAACTGCATCTTTGATATCATTTTGTTCTGATATAAATTTAAGAAGAAAATATTATACATATTGCTGATTTTCAAGTTATCAATTTTTAGATTTTTCTCCCCCAATACTGATCGTAAAGAAAGATTACTTTTTTTGAAATTTCATTCACTTAGTTTTGATCATGTAGGAGGATATATTTATCTGGGGGTGATAATTTTGTTTTTGTCAACATTACATACTATTTTGTACAAATGTCAGGTTTTTTTTATCAAGATTAATTCACTGGGACGCTTGTTTACAGTTTGAGGGATCTCTGAGAAGACTTGAATTTGGGTTTTATGAATCAGAGAGATATGAAACATCTCCTTTTAATAAAGATCAATGACCATGTGAAAGATTATGGAGAAAACAGTCCAGTCATATAAAAAATCAAATTTTTTTTAGTTAATATAAGGTTTTAGTCATTAGTTTAAAAGCAGTCTTAACAGCTATCCTGAGTGATCTATCATGAATTGGGTAATACTCTTCTTTCTTGTAACAATACTACAGGGGGAGATATTTACCATTCTAAAAGAAAACAAAGAATTCAATAAGCATTATTTTAAAAATATACTACCGAGCATATTCCTCACTATAATCTTGTAATTAATACCAGTTTTAAGTTGGAATCTCAATTCATGTTCATTAAACTAAATTTCAAGTCTTAAAAGGTAAACTGAGTGATTAGGTTCATGGCAGTTCTATTTTTATTCACAGATAATGCCTCTGAGGTAGCAATTACTGCTCCAGGAACTAGTAACCATAGAAACAGCTCCACAGGCCCAACACCCGACTGCTCACCTCCATCCCCTGATACCGCCCTCAAAAATATTGTAAAAGTTATTCGACCCCAGGTAAGTGCCCAGCATGACATCACCTGCACTATAATGTACTTCAGTTTTGATCAGTGCATATACACCATGTATATTGCAATGCATGGACTGTTTTGTAATAAAGGACTTTTAGGTTAAAAGAATGGACTTAGAAGAGGATATTTCCTTCCCTTGGAACTGATGATAGACATTGAAATCTATTTTAGCTTTTGGAAAAATGCATTTGTATATTACATGAAAAAACAAGTTAAGCTTAGAAAAATGGCTATTTCGTATCATTTTTCTCTTACAATATTTTAATAATTATACCCAGTTATTGAGCTGTTACATGTTTTTTGGTGTTTCCTGCTCCTTTTGTCTTCATTTCTCTGGATATGTCACATTATTTGTGATCTTTTCTTTATCCTCCAACCTGGTTGTTTATATATATATTTTTTTCAGTTCTTTATGGCTTCAAACTAATTTTGTGTGTGTTTGATTTTGCACCTCTCATTGCTCCTTATTTTCTTCCAGTGCTCACTTTCCTCTAGCTTGTCTCTTTACCCTTTGTTCTTGTCCATTCCTGTCACTTGTCTGTATGGGTTTCTGTCTCTTCCCCTTTCTCTTTCAGTTGGATTTCCCAGTAGGCGGTTTAGGCAAGCTTTAGAAATATCATTGGAACAAGCTGTTCTGTGATATTTCATTGAAAATAGCACTTATAAAGCTGTTTGTATTATATTTTTGCTAACAGATGGACTCAGAACATGGAATTGGTGGTGTTCTCCACCTGGCTCATTCTGAATGGGCCTCATAAAACCCAAAAGAGGGGGACTTTGGATCCAATCAATGCCATTCACTATCTATTTAGATAGATGATATGAACAAATACTTTGAGTCAATTTGCAGAACAAATATGTCTTTTAAGACTGTTTTGGTCTAAATGAGCGATGATTTGTTTAATGTCATAACCTTCTTTAATATAACTTATTTTGGATTATTTTATTGTAATCATCATCCTCATCAATAAAATGGCATTTAAGCTTTATATATCCACCACAGCTTATAGAACACTTTCATATAAACTGTTTCATTTAACCTTTATCAATTCCAAGGGAGTGTATATTTTAGTGTTATGAATAAGGATATTGACGCTCCAAAGGGGCTAAGTTGTGCAGCTGATTTGAAATTTCTTTCCTTTTCTTTACTATAATAGTTGTCTCCTGCAATCCTTTTCAGAGGGTAGAAAACTTCTCATGAGTTTTACATCTTTATGAGGATGAAACTTACAGGTTCATTTGAGCATAGGTAGCATTTCACACAGTGTCCCAATATGTATAGGAAGTAAATGTCTTCAATAATCCCTCTTCCTTTTCAGGGAAATTGAATCTAGTCCATTTGCTTCAAAAAATAAACCTCACAAAACTTGGATTTAGATGCTAAAGGTCACGTTTATTGTCACTGGTTTTTGCATTAGATGAAAGTATTCCTAGTGTTATTGTACAGCTATTACATTCCTGCCATTTAAGCTATTTAGGTAGGAGATTGTCCTACATACATTAATAAAATCCATTGTTAAACATATTTATTTTTATACCAATGTAAATTCTCTAATGTAACTGCATTTGGTCATTCAATGAATGAAAAACAGATTCCTTTCTATATAATCTAATGAACTTTAAGGGATCTTACTCCATAAATTCTTCTTTGAGTATTCTGTTTTATTGTATCTTAGTAAACTTTGAAGAAAGTGAAAACTAGAGATAATATTAAAGCCAGAAATCCCACTAGACTCCGTTCCTTGCTTCAGTCCATTATTAAATGTGTATGATGGTAATTGACTCCACTTTCCTTTCTTACATGTTATAATGATGATTTAGGGAGAGAAAAGGAAGGGAGAAAGTCAGGAAACTACGGATGATGGTATTTAAATTAGAACCAATGCAGCCTGTAAGTGTGCATGTTATAGAACAGTAACAGCTAAGGTATATAATTGAGAAAGAATATAACCTCAATTGGGCTACCCTTTCTTTCATCTCAGAGATATTGGTGCATTCATTACTTATCTCTCCTTATGAGTCCTGATCTCCTGGGGCTCCTCATTCATTCTAGAGAGCAGGAAATAGAAAATTCAAGTGAAAGTAATTATGAGGGAGTGTTGGAATAGGACATGTGATTTCAGGAAAGGGTTGGAGACTAGGGGGTGTGGATGAGGGACAGCTAGATGGATAGAATAGAGGACTCCCTGGTGTGTTCTGACAAGTCACAGGTACGTCAGGGATGGAATATTGTCAAGAGCTATGATTCCAAAGAAAAGATAATTATTGGTTAGCTTATATAAGAGCCTATATTTTGATCACAGATTTAACCTTCTAAAGTGTTTGCTAATTATGGTTTTCTGTCTGGAAATGGAAGAATGTGGCTATTCACTTTTTTTCATTTACTTATTAGAAATTAATAACATGGTTGAAATGATCATTGCACTCTTGAAAACTCATGAATTACATTTCTTTGCTTGGGCATTAGCAGATGCGTTTAGTCATATTATGAGAAGATTGACATAGCGTAGATGAGAGAAAAACAGGACTTTCATCTTATTCACTGCAAATAGATACTGATTAGATAGAGCAAGTTAGGTTACTTCCCCTTTGCCTAATGCATACCTTTATCTAGTCTACTTTGTATAATTCTATCTATAAATGCAGACTCCATTGTACCAAGGAGTCCTTGCTTTCAGTATGAGGTAGGGCTGATTATATATTACATATGTTTCTGATTGGTGTGTTAATTACTTGGAAGCTACAGACTTTGCAGTGCTTTGTGGCGTTTGATTCCATTTGGTAGTTTTATTAACTTACTAAGTCACAGCTGTTAGTTCTGCATCCTGTATTTGATCTTTTCACCTGTGCTTCTTTAGGCTCTTTTATGTCTTAAAATTCACCAGATTGTGAAATATTCTATCTTCAATTTATAGAGCCCAAATTATTTATTTGCTACAGGCATCACTTTGTTCCTCTTCAGTGTATTAACCCACAAGCCTGAGTTTCTCTATTTAGATGAATTCACAAGGCTTGGTTCACTTACATATACTTGAAAATAAAATTATTTTTAAGCTTAAAAAAATACTTGAAAAATACTACCTTTGAAAAAATTTTAGGTAGGTCTATTGGCATCAGTTTTCTTGTTTCTGCTAAATAATTATATGTTACTTGTAACTGCTTTTTAAAAAAAATGCTTTCCTGGTGAAGCATCTTTTTTCCCCTAATTGAAGAATAAAATAAAATTTGATGAATTTTGACAACTGTCTGTGTAGGTGTAACCACCACTCAAAGCAGGATATAGAGCATTGGTGTCACCACCAGAAAGTTGCCTCATGCCCCTTTCTAATCAATGACCCCCTTTCCTACCTCAGACACAATTTCTTTCTGATATTTAAAATTAGAATTGCCTATTCTTGGACTTTATATAAATGGAATCCTATTGTGTGTGTGTGTGTGTGTGTGTGTGTGTGTGTGTTTTGTATATGTCAGTGCCCAGCTTCTTTCATTCAACATAATGTTTTTGGGAGTCACTCATGTTATTCCTTTTTTCTGCTAAGTAATATTCCATTGGAGTAATAGAATACAATTTGTTTATTCATTCTCTGTTGATTGATATGTTGTTCCCTGTTATTTGCTTATGAATAAATATGCTATAAAGTTGTGTGCAATTCTTTGTATAGACATATATTTTTGTATAGATACCAAAGAGTGAAACTGTTGGGTTGTAGGGCAGATGAGTAGCTAACTTTATAAGAAACTTGCGAAGAGTTTTCCAAAGTAGTAGTTCTACTTTATAACCCAAACAGAAATATCTGAGACTTTCAGTTTCTCCACATTCTCACCACCATTTACACTTTCAATTTTTTCATTTTAACCATTCTTATGAGTGTAAAAGGATTTCTTATTATGGCTTTAATTTTCATTTTCCTGGTTACTAGTAGTGTTGGGCACCTTTTCCTATAGCTATTGCCCATTCCTTTGTCTTTTGAGAAGTGCCTGTTCAAGTCTTTCTTTATGAGGTTGTTCAACTTTTTAATTGTTGATTTGTAGTAATTCTTTATAAATTCTTCTATAATTTCAAAAGATATGGGTCATTTGTCAGGTTTATACATTGCAAATATTTTTTCTAGTCTGTTATTTGCCTTAATAGTTTTTAATGGCACCTTTTGATGAACAGAATATTTTAATTTTTGTGAGTTCCAATTTAGCAATTTTTCCTTCATGGATAGTGCTTTTTGTGTCTTGTCCAGGCTATGAATATATGCTCTCATATATTTTTTTTCTAGAACCTTTCTGATTCTGGCTTTTGCATTTAGTTCTACTATCCATCTGAAATTGTTTTTGTATGGTGTGAGGTAGGAATCAAGATTCATTATTTTCTTAAGTGGAAAAGACTTTCCTTTCCTCATTGAGTTGACATAATGCTTTAGTACTGTTTACTACTTTCACTTTCCAGTTTTTGGTTGTCAGTTTATAGAAATGCAATTGAGTTTTTTATTATCTCTGTATACTGCCACCTGTGTAATTTCATTTAACAGTTATAGTAGTGCTTTTAAAAATAATTTCCTTAAGGTTCAGTCCTGTCATCTGAAAATAATGAAGGTCTTACTTCTTCCTTTATGATTTTTATTCATTTTATTTCCTTTTCTTACTGCTATGACTGCATTGCAATCATGCATAGAAGTGGTAAAGCCCAAAATTCTTGCCTTATTCTCTATCTTTGAAGGAAAGCATTCATTATTTCAACATAAAGTATAATATAAGCTGTAAGTTTCTTTCATGTACTCTTCTACTTATAGTCTGCTGAGAGTTTTTAGCATAAAAAGGTGTTTTTTTCCCATTTTTTCTGTGTATATTTAGATGATCATATGATTTTTTTCTCCTTTTGTTCTGTTGAGGTGATAAATACATTGATTTATTTTTAAATATTAATACAACTTTGAACTTTTTGGTTAGAGACCACTTGGTTATGATGTTTTATCCTTTTTCTATAGAACTGGATGC